GGACATGTATTTTATTTATTTTTATGTGGTGCTGAGGATCAAGTGTGAGGCAAGGGTTCTGCCACTGAGCCACAACCCCAGCCCATACAATTCAGTATTTCTAAGACATTACCTCACAYCAATGGTATAGCTGTACCTTACTGGAGGGGTTTCTGTTTGCTTTTGTTTTCCTATGATGGTTTGGTCTTCAACCACAGTGATAAACTATAATTTTGCTTTTTCCAGTTACTTTGGAACAGCCCCTCTGTTGGCTTAGCAGCACTCCCAGGGTCTCCCTCAGACACCTGCCTCCTTCTGAGTTCAGCTGGGCCGTGATGGAAAGCAGGACTCTTCCCCCACCTGTTTCCCTTCATCCTCCCACCATTGTGTGGAAGCATTAAATGTGGGGCAGAAAGTAATTTTAATGTCACCTTTCAATGGGGGGCAGAAAGTAATTTTAAGGTCACCTTCAACTTTGATCATATTTTTTATCAGTTAGTTATCAAACTCTGACCTGCTCTAGGTCTGCTGCATGGTTCAACCTGGAATCTCTTTCCTGTTACCTGGACAATTCTCTCCTTTTTCTGTTAGACTCCCCGCTTTAGACACCATCTCTTTCCACTGGTTTACCATTTTAGTTAGGTCCATCTTTCCGGATGTGGAGAAAATTGATATTTTACACCCTGAATGTTTAAAAATATTTTTCTACTCTCATGGTTGTCTCATAGTTAAACTGGATATAGAATCCTAGATTTGAAATAATTTCCCCTTAGGATCTTGAAAAGCATTACTCCATGGTCTTCTAGTTTCTAAAGTTGCTCTCAAGTCAGATTCATTCCGTTTCCTGAACAACTACTTGCTTTCTTGAAAAGTTTTTAACATCTCTTCTGTATAAGTCCTGAAGTGTCAGGTGGAGTGCTTTCTAGTCCTCATTCTTGTTCCCTAGCAGACCTTTCAATAGGTGTGTACCTTCAGTGCTGGGACATGTTCTTGCATTGCTTCCTTTTACTGTGGGGCCTGGTCTTCAGACAGACAACTTTTATTATCGGTCTCTAAAGAGCATGTCTGCTGTCTTCTGGAAGGAGAACAACAGCTGCCTGGGTGGGTGTTATGGTTTGGACCGTAAGCCTCCCCCGAAGGCCTGGCCCCAGCCTGTGATGCTACTGGCAGGTGGTGGAGCCTTTGCTGGGAGCCCAAGTGGGAGGAGGTTTAGGCTGCTGGGGATATGCCCCTAAAGGAACCTTTGGGACCTCAGTTCCTCCTCTGCTTCCTGGCCACCAAGAGGCCAGCAGCCTTCTCTGCCACTTGTTCCCATCATGGTGTACTGGGTCACCACAGGCCCAGAGGCAGTGGAGTCCAGCAATTCGGACAGAAACTGCTGAAACCAGGAGCCTGAACAAACCTCTCCTCGTGAGCTGTCTTGGGTGTCTGTCACGGTGGCAGAAGGCTAACACAGTGGGTGAGTGGGCATCTCTTTCAAATGCTGCCATCAGCTACTTCTTGCATGGACTTAGTACTAAAGTGGCATTTCAAATCAGTGAGGAAATTAATGATTCAACATTGTGACAACTTCCTAATTATTTGTATGAAAACTGAAACCTGACATCAGGGATTTTTTTTTTTTAAGCCCCAGACCCCTTTTTTTGTTTTTTATGCAGGGACACTTTATCACTAAGCTACATAGCCAGCCCTTTTTATTTTTTTTACTTTGAGACAGGGCCTCACTAAATTGCTGATGCTGGCCTGGAACTTTCGATCCTCCTACCTCAGTCACCTGAGTAGGTGGGACTTCAGGCACACACCACTATGTGCCCCTGTGAGGCAGAGGCTCTGAGAGTTTCAGTTGACCTTACAAGGCCATACAAGGCTCGTGCACATCACCTCCATCTTTGGATGGCTCCCCTTTTCACTTAAGGGTGGTACTGTTTTGAACTTTCATCTTTTCCAGGGCTAGAGATATGCAGTGGTATCCTCTCACTATGCTGTGTGTACACAGCTCCAGCCAGCCCCACAATCTTGAGGGGTCACACCAGTACCGCAGGGCACTGTGCTGCCAAGGTGGTCAGCAGATGGGGTGCACTCAGTGAAATCTTCAATTAGGATATTTTCAATGTAACATCGTAAGTTGAGCTTCTGTACATGGCAGAGTTGTTTTGAACCTGGTCCAGCTCCAGACTATGCTTTCTCAGTGACTACATCATGCTGTAGCATGAAAGGGAGATAATCTTGGAAAGCTAGGTGCTTGGGGCCTTACTTCAAAGCAGTGGCAGCTCCAGAGTGTACAGCAGGAGGCAGGAGAGGGGCCAAGAGTCAGCTCTGGGCTTGGCTGTGGGTGTGTGCAAGCATGCATGTGGGTGATAGAAGCTGCTAGTCTTAGGGAAGGCTTTTACTTGGAGTGTCTTGTGCTGGATGACAGTGAGTGAGTCCTCCAGACTATCTGCTGGAAGCGCAAAGCCTCATCTCTTTTTATTTCAAGTCCTTACCTCTGCCATTGATTGCTTGCCTGGCTCTAATGCAAAAGCTCACTAGGAGACAAATCTAGCTACTTGCACCCAAAACTCAAGGCTTCATCCAAACCCGTGTCACAAAGTGGCCTAAAAGTAAGCAAAGATCATCTGAGTTTTCAACATGCACCTGTACAGCAAGTGTCATGGAAAAGAAAAGAAGGCAATCAAATCTAGCATCGGGGACTTTTCTACTGCGCAGTCTCCACGGCAATGACCAGCCTGGGTCCCAGCACTCCTGCAGCATTGGCCCCCGTGCTCCCTGAAGGCGGCAGCTTGGTGCCACCTGGCCGTGCACCAAGACATCATCAGCCAGGCATTGCTAAGTTGGCTCTACAACAGTGCGTGGCCTGGTACAAGGGACCTCCAATGAGCACACAGAAGTAGCCTGGCTGCTGGGAACACGTGCACATCACAGGGGAACTTGGACGCAGGAAGTATTGCACCTTATTTTGAGCTTTCCAATGGTTTTCCTTGGCACTTGGATTCCAACCCAAATGTTTTAGAGTTGACTATGCTGCTGCTGACTGAACTGTATCCCCCCACTTTGCACGCTGAAGCTCAGACCAAAGTGCCTATAGTGGGGAGTGGTTAAAATCAGATGTGGTCGGGAGGCTGAGGCCCTCATGGTGGCCTTAGTGATCTCATTAGCTCATTCAAACACATATCATGGTGGCCTTAGTGATCTCATTAGCTCATTCAAACACATAAGGAGACGGCCGCTGAGGGAGGCCTCAGAGTGGACATGCATTGCTAGCACCTTGACCTTGGACTTCAGCCTGGAAAACTGCAAGAAATGTCTGTGTTGAAGCCACCCAGTCCACGGCACCGTTCCATAAGCCTGAGCAGATAAAGCACCTTTCTCTTGAATTTCACTATCCAAGACTCACTCTAGCCCCCCATCTTCATTTGGGTCCTCCAGAACCTGCCCAGGACTATCCACTCCCTATTCTCTCTGCACACGCCACTCCACTCTCCCTGTCTATCCTCAAAACCCAGCACCCTGGAGAGCCAACTTCTGCTCAACAACTCGACCTACTGGTCACCTTAGAGCGGCCACCTGCCAAGGTCCCAGTGCTCAGCCACAGTACTCCAAGCTTCCTCACACAGTATCTCTTAGTTGCATGTAGCTTTGACTCATTCATTTTGTTGATGAAGGCTCTGGGTAGTAAAGTTTAAAGTAAGCTAGCTAACTTATTCTCTATTTCGACAACTGGAACTAAAGCAAGCAGTAAGACGGAGGCTGAGTGTCCCTTCACTACAGTGTGTGGAACTGGAAGTATTACTCCTGACAAGAGATCATGCAGACTGCCCCAAGTCTAAATGCAAACTGCCTTTATGTTCCATGTGTACCTGACACCCTTACCTGAGGCTATTTCACTACGGTTTTTAGTGTCACCTGTGTTTTGACTACAACTCCTCCCATGAGGTCAGGTATGGAATTCTCATCTTGGGGTTAGGTTGGTGCTCAAGAAGCTTCAGATTTCTGGACTAGGGACACTCAGCTGACACACCTTCTTCACAGTTTTCTCCTAACAGCCAGAGCCTTTGATGTCAATATGGTGCTTCAACCCAGAAGGCAACATAAAACTGAGCACATGTGGGGACTAAGAAGTGTTTATGAAACAGAAGCTGAACTTTGCTTTCCCAAACATGTTTTCAAAAGACGTTTATTTTAAACACACGCAGAGCTGGATTTACAAATGCCTTTTAACCATGTGGCGGGGAAGATTACACTGACTGCTTACACTGATCATTTCTTCGTCTCCACGGAGTCTATGTTCATAAAGTCTTGTGGAGCATGAGGTGTATCTTCCTTTACACCCATGTTGGCAGTAGTCCTTTACAACAATAACTGTGTGATGACCATTAAAGTCTTGCAGCTGTTGGTTTTCCTATCGGTGTCTTACAACCTGACATAAACAAAGAGCTTGTGAAATGACTCGGACTTTGCCCTTCCTCATACAACTGTGTCTTAAGCTACTGCCCAACAGGGATACCCAACACTGTGCAGAGTGTACAGGCCTACTGCACCAATGGGGTGCCAGTCCCCYCTGCAGGAGGTGTGGCCAGTGTGGCAGGGCCAGTCGCAGGAGCTGGCCACTGCTCCTCACTATTAATAAACTGAYTGTCGTCCTCGCAGATAAGGTACGTGTGAGTGCTTTAGCTCTACACCCCTCCTTACCACATTTGAAACTGAGTTCCAAGGCTACCTATTCTGTGAACAGAAGAGGGGTGGTGCTCATCATGCTCCTCCAAGAGTTCTCACAGCCCCTCCACCCCTCCTTCCTCTATATGCCCAATCCTGGTTTTCCTGGCTTAGGCAGATGCCACCCAGGGGCCCTCCATGCAGCCCTGACCAATGCCCTGAGTTAGGCTTAGGTACAAAAACGCCCCTTGTAAGAGTATTAATGACATAGTGCTCATTCAACACGACTAACAGATCGTCATTTCCTTAAATGTCGATACCCCCTTCTAATATCATCCCAACATCCCTGCAGGAAGTTTTTCAACTCTTCTGGCTATTTCTCTGTTCACGCTTGACTCTCCTGACTCTTACAGATACAAGAACAAATGGCCTGCATTTCCTGGGCTGCACTGTGTCTTTTCCTCTCTCTGTCTCTGGTGGTACAGGGAATGACCAGGCCAGTGCTCCACCACTGAGCTATACCCCCACCTGCCTAGCATGTGTGAGGCCCAGCTCCAGCTCCAGCATGGGAAAAATACTGATAAAACAATGCAGAAGTTCTTCATGTCTATTAAACCGTACTTACTGAGCATTCCTTCTAATTTGGTTGTGGCAGGTTCATTCACACTAAATATGTTTTCATTGTTTCTAAAGAAAGGAATAAGCTTTGTCACTGCACACATCAAGGTGACGGCCTCCCAACAGTGCACAGTGGCTGGAAGGCCTTTGGCCCACCCTCCCTCCTGGCTTCACCCTTCCTTCTTTGGACCACACCAGAGACACGGCCATGAGAGGTTAAGCTTTCGCATTGCTGCTTTAGTTCTAGAGGCGAATGTCTGTCTGTTTCTCCACCCATCTATCCATGTACCACCCACACTACATTCTCCAAAAATATTCCCTGTAATTAATCTCTAAATGTCAGTATAAGGCCACAGACACAGACTGGCCTACCCTACCTCCTTCTTTTGCTCCAGTGGCATTTTTATTCATAACCACACAGGTTTCCTGGGGACGCAAACTGATTTCACTCAGGAGGGGCTGGGTAAGTGAAGAACATTCTAACACTTACCAGACGGCACACTCCCATGCCTGGGCTTTTGCTCAGTGTCACTTGTGGCCCTTGCCCCTTTAGCAACCATGGAACTATGCATAGTACTTACATTTTCTTTTTCTCTACCACGCCAAGTCTCACAAAGGCTGCTAAGGCATTTTTTTGCACGTCGGAAGATAGCACATCATAACACTGAGAGGCTCCTGGGTAAAGGAGGAAGAGCTGGTGGACCCCTTGCTCTCCAGTAATAAAAGCCCCCTCCCCACAAGAGTGACTGACCTTGATCGAGAAGCTGGCATGTGAACTTCCTCACTGCAGCCAAATACTGCTTCTCAGTAAAGCGTTCTTCTTCTTCATATAAGAGGTACTTGCAAATGATCTGATTTTAAAAGGACAATGAGGAACAGCGAGAAAGGGTGGCCAAACACAGGAGAACCCTTAATGACTTTCACCACCTTCTTAAAGAATGGCACCTCCCAGTGGAGCAGAATGCAGACCCATTAAGGTGGAGCCCGAGAAACATGGGAGGACTTTTAGGACATCTTTCTAAACTTCAGTTAATTTTTTTTTTAAGTTGTCAACGGACCTTTATTTTATTCATTTACATGCAGTGCTGAGAATTTAACCCAGTGCCTCGTACATGCTGGGCAGGCGCTCTGCACTGACCACAGCCCCAGCCCAGCTTCAGTTCATGTTTACAGTCAGAATACAATGGTTTGTAATAATATCAACATTTATTAAACATTACTTTGGCATTTTAGTTGGTTGCAAGTTAATTACTACCAGCTTTGTATTTCATGCTACTTGGGAAAACAGGAGCCAGATGTTTATAACTTTGTCTTTTTCACTAAATAAACCCAACAAAGTGCTAGGTCCTAAAACACTGGATGACTTCTACTATAGAAAGGGTAGAAGGGACACTGATCAAGCACCAAGTATGAAGCTTTGTGCAAGGCGGCTAGTGGTGTCACCTCACGTGCCACAAGCACCCCTGTGCCAGGAAGCAGGTCTGGTGCCCGTGGGCAGGGGATACACTGAGCCCAGCCTGAGGCTTCTTCTCTCTAATACACGGGGACCCTGGGTTTGCATTTCCAACTCCCTCTCTTTTGAGCCCTGACCATTCCTACTTGGTGTCCACTGAGAGCTCTGACAAGCTCTTTAGATACCTGCACTTGGAACTTTTTCTTTCCCTTCCAACTTTGAGTAACATAAATGATTGACTCTATGCATCATTCGGGTCTTGGGTCTTTCATTCACTAAGTGCTTATTATGTGTCAAACACTTTGCTACACACTAAGACCAAAAGACAAGACACAGCGTGACAACAATGTTTGGGTAAAACTATGGTTACACAAAGACTGTGCTCTAGGTCTCACTAAGCTGTCACTCTTTTGGTTCTGTGATGGACCAGSCCTTCTGCTCCCCCTCTAGACACCTGGGAGGTGACATCATTCACTGGGAAAAATCCTGGCCCACCAGACCAATAATACGTGTGGAGTGGAAAAATCTTTTGATTTGGTATCAGGATCATAAAGAAGAACTTGCCAAATTTACATACCTGGTAACATTCCACAAAAGGTTTAAAGAGTCCTACTAGAAATTCTAACACAGCCTTTCCTTTCTCTGTGACAAGGATGTCCCTTAAAGTCAACTGAATGGTCTCACTTTTACAAAGCAGGTAACAGCCTTCTTCGAAGTCCTGGAAGGGAAAAGGGGAAGCCAGAATGTATCCAGGAATACAGGTTCATGGGAATAGGCATCTCAACACAGCATGAGTCCTCAGCCGTGACACCAGCTAGTCACAGCCTCCCAGGACCACCTGGAAGCTCCACAGCAGCACAAGAAAACCACTGGGCAGACAGACTTTCTTTCACTGTGCACAGCCACCTCCTTAATCTAACTAGCAAGTGTGTGCGAAGAGTCCCAAAGACACTTAAGAGTTGTGCTCACGCTCAAATCTCGCTGGCATGCTTGCTCTCAAGTCCCACAGAATAAAACAAAGTCTGCTCTCCTTAGCACAGCAACCAAAGCCTGCACCACCTGTGTGTGTTCTACCACTGCCTACCCCAGAGAACTAGCAGGCCCACTTGCTCAACTGCCCACACTGCCAGCAAGGCCACCTACTGCTCCTCTCCAGGCTGAGGCACCTGCCTACAGACACATTCCAACCTGCTGTGAGCAGAAAGGTGTGTGTAGACTTACAAACATCTACTGGAACAGCCATTTACAGAGCTGCACTAGTGGCTCCAGAAGGGACCCTCCTCACAAAGAATCCCAGGGTTATTTATTCAATACTCATCACCATCCGCTGTACAGCTCTGGATCTGCTGGACCGTGAACGCCTGCGTTTCTCACTGTGTTGCCCGAGAACGTTCCTGCCTGCTTGCAGAACTCATGTGTGCACACCTGCTCTCCTGCCATGTGCAGACTTACCCTCAATGTGCTTCCCGGAAGGAAGATGAACTCATCTGAAAACATGTCACGGAGGAAGCGAAAGCAGCTGTAGACATCCTCTGCAAATAAATTTGTTACATAAGATCACCATGCTGCTTTTTAAACTTTCAGGGAGTATCAGGAAGTCAGTGAAACCCCCAAATTCAGTCCTTCAAAGGTGCATCTTTTAAAATGTTTTTAGTTGTCAATGGATCTTTATTTTTATATGTGGTAATGAGAATCAAACTCAGTGTCTCACACATGCAAGGCAAATGCTCTCCAATGAGCTATAGCCCCAGCCCCCAAAGGTGCATTTTTGGGGGACAAGAATTAAGTCCCCTGTGGGAAGCCAGAATCAACCAGAACTTCACCTGCATAGTAAACTAGTCTAACACAATTTTAATGTGTTAAATTACAAATAAGCTTCTAATAAGTCAGTCAGGTAACAAGGAAGATACCACAATACTTAGAAGCCTGGGACATCACTTCCCCTATGCCAGAGTCCCCATGGGGGAGAGAAACTGATTTCCTAGCTTCCCTCAACACTCATAGTCCTGGATCTTTACTATACCTGTGGTCTCTTCCCTATGAAGGGGGAAAAAAAAAAAAAAAAGAAAGAAAGAAATCACCAATAGAACCCACTGCAGGCGGCTCTGGTGTGGGGCTCCCCCAGGGATCCTCATGCAGACCTGGGTAGAGACCATGGCCTGGACTATAAGCTCCTGCCAATACGAGCTGTGCCTGACTCACTTCCCCGTTCCTCAGTGCAACGTGCACACTCCTGCGCTGGTGTTCTGTTGGACAAGGGGCTGTCACAGCAGAACAGAACAGACCAGGATATGGGGCAAGTGTGCTCACATGCAGAGCCTTCTCTGAGCAATTATGCAACTCTGTAGGCCTCTCACTTATAGTAGAAGATGTTTAGGTTAGGCAATTTCTAGATCCTTCCAATTCTAAGTTTTTTTCTTTCTTTCTTTCTTTCTTTTTTTTTTGAGGTGGGGTCTTGCTGTATTGCCCAGGTGGGTCTCAGCCTCCTGAGCAGCTGGGACTATAGATGTGTACATGCCACTGTGCCCTCCAATTCTAGGACTCTAAGATAGATGACCACGTGTTTCAGGAGCAAAGCTAACTTCTGAGGGTAAAGGCCCCGCACCCTGCCAGTGGTATCCTTGCTGTGCACTACTGCTCCTTCCATGGAACTGCAACGCTAGGCTTCTTCTGAAGTTCAAGGTCACGTTCCTGAAAGTTACCTTTCCTGAACCCAGGTGTCATCTGCAAGGCTACAGCTACTAAGGAAGGACGGACAAAAATGTTGAGCAACTGGTTCCTATAAGCTGAGCACATAAGCAGAGTGATATGCTGGAAAATGAGTCCATCGACCACTTCCGAGTCTCCRGAGTCCACGTTCAGAATCACCTGGTCTTTAACGAGGCTGGCGAGGTTGGAATGCAGAAGAATGCTGGACTGGACAACTTCCTCAGCAGGTTCATTATCTGCACACAAAGACAACATGTGTAAATGAGACAGGGTCTGCAGGGCAGGCCTGACCTGAGAGGAGAGGCAGAGGCTGGGCTACTCTCTTACCAGCTGCGGTCATGGTAAATGAAGGAGTGGAAAGCAGCACTTCCTGTATGGAATCTTTCAGGACATGTATATAACTCCGTCTACCCTAAGTCTGTCAGCCATTCTGAAGTACACATCAGTTCCCAATCTGAAAACCAACACCTGCTGTCTACCTCAGGAACCAAGAGCATCCAAAATTTGCAAGAGCAAATTACATGACTGGAAAAAAATCACACGCACATGGATTTAACAATACTAAGACACAAAGGTCCATGATTGGTGCATGAGTACATTAAATATACTTCTTACACACCCACCCAGCTCCTAGCACCAGGTCTCAGAGCACAGAGAGACAAGTGTCTCTTCCCCACATCTAGCATCATTAGAGAGGCAGACCCATCACGGTTCCGTAGCTCATCATCCAACCCTACCTTGACTTGGACATGGAAAACAGGTAGTCATAGAAGCAGAATGCAGAGATGGTGATGTTTAACAGCAAGGGCAATTGTTTTACTATGAACCTCAGCCAGAGAGCTAGGTGTTAGGTTCTGTTGATGCTGCAGGGGAGGGACAAATGAGGGGTGTGGCTTATATACAGGGAATGAACAAAAGGTCTCAGAGTAAAGGCCCATTCCTGGCTGGTATGTGGGCTGCAGATACCGCTGCTCATTCCAAGACTCTGAACTCTGTTCCCTTCAGTGGCCTCAATCACACTCATTCTTGATCAGCTTGCCCTCTCAGCTTGCTCAAGTTAATGGTATGTATGAAATGATATAAAAAGCTCCAGAGGGCTGGAGATGCAGCCAATGGCCCAGTGGCTCGATTGGCATGCAAAAGGCGCTGGGCTCAATCCCCAGCACTTAAATAAATTAATAAATAAATAAAGGCTCTAGATACGAGAATGCTTAGGACTGTGTGATAATTCAAGTAAAACAGAACAAAGGAACTGAATATATGCTCTATAATTAGGAAGCACAGTTGCTCTGGCCACACTGACACTTGGATATGACAGACTCTGTAATAATCAGGATGGTGCAGTATCAGCCAGCCACAGGTACTCTTAGGCAGTCACATACTTATCCTATCTTCAAAAAGCAAGACGCCTTAGAGAGACAGGTGTCTATGTATTCACATGTCCCTGGGGCACACAGTTATAGGACAATACTTTACCTGCCCCACTTACAACACCAAATACTTGCTACCCTGTATCATAATTTAAACGCCCCTCACCTCCCACAAGACCATCACAATACTGAGATAGATGTCACCTCCCTCTCTTTCCTCACTGGTGACAGGCACTGGACTGCCTGGCTCTTGTTAGGAATTCCTCCTGGACTCCTCTTTGCTATGCACCAGCTCAGCCACCAGTGGGACTGGGTGTCCTCACTTCTCAGCTGGGCACAGCAGCCTCCTAACCTGTCATGTCTCCAGTCTCTTCCATGGAGGTCCATCTTTAGAGCTGGTAGCCGGATGTTTTCTAAAGGCCACTCTGTCTTACTGCCCTGCTTACATCCATTATGGCTTTCTGTAGCTGAGAGGTTTCAGTTCAGATCTGAAGCCCGCAGGCTGAGGCAATCTAGCTGCCACCTACAGCCTTTTCTTCTATTCACCCAACCCAGCGGCAGCTTTCTAACATGCAGGTCACCAAATGCTGATGCAGGTCACCAGGTCACCGTCTTGCATTTGCTATCCCTGCGTGGACCAGGCGCCACTCTCTGAGGAACTCCTCTCCTGTCAAGGGGCTGCAGGGCCACTCTGTGAAGTCTCCCTTCACCCATGGTATTCTCAGGCATTCTCAACAGCGCGTCCACAGCTCACTGACCCCACTGTTTGTTCACACATATTTGGCGTCGGCATGGTGAATGTACATAGGCAGTTAACTAGAAATAATTACCTGATTTTGAAAGGACTGCAATTCCATCTGCCATCTGTATAATCAAAAAGACTGAAACAATTTCCGCTAACTCTTGTTACATACACCCTCGATTTCCACAGCATTCAAAACCTGGACAAGGTTTTTTTTTTTTTTTTTTTTTTTAGAGAATTATTTTTAATATTTATTTTTCAGTTCTCGGCAGACACAACATCTTTGTTGGTATGTGGTGCTGAGGATCGAACCCGGGCCGCACGCATGCCAGGCGAGCGCGCTACCGCTTGAGCCACATCCCCAGCCCATGGACAAGGTTTTTGACAAGCTGTTTTCATCTGAAAACTGCATAAAGCTGGATGAGGCCAGCCGTTCAGTGTATGCCACCCACAAGGCAAATGGGCTGCTGCTAACATGAGGTGGTCTGAGAGAAGGAGGGAATCCTGTCCCTAGTCTCCACTGATGGGTACAAAGGGACAGTGTTCCAGTCCTCAGGTGTTTTTAGTCTCAAGGGTACACATCATGTAAATGCTTATGCTAAGGGCCAATATGCTGGGTTCCAGTCCTTGAGGGGTAAAAACAGACAAGGGTCCTTTTCTCTGAAGGATGTTTAGCTCAGCTCTCACGCAAGTTTCTCACATCTAGAATTCATTCCCAAATTAAAGAGTGAAAGGCGAGCCTCCACACCACATACCAGGCCACAGGAGGAGCCCTCCAAACGTCTGGGCCAAGCCCTTCAGCCACAGAGTCTTCTCCACAAGGGCATCAAAGTCCATACATGGCCGGTTCTGAAGTAGAACAGCAATTGCCAAGCTCCACGGGCTCAGAACAAGGTTCTCAATTTGCAGAAGCTGCATTTTGTAGGCAACTTCAGTGACAAAAGCGTGCATGTCCTCAGACTGTTTCTGTGGGATATATCTAGAAGGAAGAGCACAGAACACATGGCAGTTTTGCTACCCACACTCACAGGGTGGGAGGACCCCTCGGAAGGCTGCTCATGCTCCTGCCAACCAAATTCCTTAGGCCACCTGCAAGAAGTGTTTCTTGCTTTACCACAGTGTAATCTGCCCAGACATGTCCAGGACATGTCTTGAAACAAAAGAAATACTGGGGTTTTTTTTTGTTTTTTTTTTTTTTTTTTGGTACTGGGGATTGAACCCAGGGGTGCTTAACCACTGAGCCACATTCTCCAGCTCTTTTTTATATTTCATTTTGAGACAGAGTCTCACTGAGTTGCTTAGCACCTCGCTTTTGCTGAGGCTGGCTCTGAACTCACCATACTCCTGTCTCAGCCTTCTGAGCTACTGAGATTACAAATATGCAACACTGTACCCAGCAAGAAATACTCTAAATTCCTAATTCCAGGGGGAGACTTTTGCTGGTTTTTAAATAGTTCATATCACTTCTGTGAAAACCAATACCTCCCTGTAAAATGAATGGCCATCTCTGCAGAATCCTAGCACCATGAACATCTCTACTGTATACCATCCGTCAGGCTAACATCTGCACCGGACAGGCTGCTCAGTCTGAGAGCTTCAGTGCCTGCCGAGGACCCCATCCGCAACTGGGAGCTCTGTCATGCTCGGATCACTGCAAGTGTACACTAGGCCTAAGAGCACAGGGTGGAGCCAAAAGAGATATGCAGGGCCTAACAGCAGCCACACAAGGGTCCTCAGCATAGGCTGGCCAGCTAACGTGAGGTCTAGAGAATGGGTGGCAGCAGGAAGCCCACAGACGCTTGAGATGACAATGCAGCTACTGTGGAAAGGCACACTCCCGCTGGGGAACTCCGCCTCCTCAAGGACCTAATACCACACATGGGCTCAGTCCCATGTGTGGCTATCACACTCTCTTTTCTGGGATCAAACCAGTGCTCAGGACACATGCTAGCTGGACTCCAGCAGGCTCAATGACTCCTACAGGTGCACTTGTTAACAGCAGCACTCTTCTTCCTAATGTTGAGAGAGTTCCCCTAAGAAGGCGATTGTGTATGATTGCATGTCTGACACATGTACCCTGCAGAGAACCAACTGTTGGCAAACACAGATCATCTTCACTGAAACCTTCCAATGACAAAAAATGAAATGACGGGAAGGGGATTGATTGAATTATCTCTTGTGCCTGTATGAATGTGGCACAATGAATCCCGTCATTATGTAGAATTATAATGCACCAATAAAAATTATAAGTAAATAAATTAAAAGTTTTAATAAAAAAGGAAGAAAGAAAAAATAAAGTAGCACAGCTTCCCTGGTGATATGCTGTGTGCTCTCAGGTAAACCACAGTTCAGGCTTGGAGGCCATCAACCCAGGTCTCGACTCACACTGCTAGGTTTAACCCTCCTCTCTACATCAAGTATCAAAACAGGCCTTGCACCTTGGAACCAAGTTATACGGGCTCCGACTCATCCTCCCAGCTGCCAGAGATCGAAGCGATATAGGGTCTCCGAAGTACACGTGGATGCTTCCAAAGTTTTCAGAGAGAATCTTTCTGGCTTTCAACAACCCCTAGTAGCATCATAATGGGGAAAGAAAAAAAAAGGAGTATACTTATAAGACAGAACATGTATAAGTTGGGATACTCTCTGTACTTGATGAAAATCAAGTCAGGCCATCCTCACATACAGTTGTAGATTCTTTTGGCTTCGGGACTCCTAGAAGTTCATATGCATAAAGAGTTTCTTCCAATATCTTATCATAACTGATGCTAATTGGGACAAGGTAGGTGTCAAAAACTTCTCTTTTAAAAAACGGCTCCATCACAATGTTCAGGAGACCTGTAAACATAGGAGAAAATGTTTTCTCATTCAYACTGGGGAGTAGAGCACACAAGGGCCTAAATAGGAAGACAGCAAAAGTGTGCACATATCCTAAGCCCATAAATAGGAACCATTCCACATTTAGAAACAGTTATACTTACAAAGAAACAATTATCTTGTCAAAAAGTTTTAAAAGTATCAAGTTCTATTTAGCAGTGATCAGAAAGTCACATCTAAATCCTGTAAGTGACCTACCAAATTTAGGAGTCAGTGTCTTGGCAGAGCGACTCCTGGTCCCTTCGAGGAAAAATTCAACAGGAGCATAACCATTCTTTAAAGAGAAAACAAACAAACAAGACACAAAACCCATTGCCTACTCTCAAAATGACACTTTTTTTTTCCTGGACCTGGGGATGAAACCCAGGGCCTTGRCGCATGMTAGACACGCGCTCTACCACTGAGCTCTATCCCCAGCCCCATTGGTACTTCTTTTGATTCCTTTCCCCATGCCCTCCCAACCCTCTAAATAAATAAATGCTGCTCACAGCAATATGTAGGCGAGAGAGCCACAGACTGCTGAGACTTGGAATGTTCCTCAAGGGGGAAAACAGCTAAATGGTCTATTTAGAAATTCACAATTTGTAAAAGCAAAACAAACATCAGTGGAAAGAAAACTGAGCTTGAAAAAACCTGGCCATCACATGCATTTACCCGTAACATGGTCTTTACATATTCAGAGAATACCGCCCAGTAGAGTTTGTTGCCACCAAAGGTACGCCGCATGAAAAAGGCACCTGACATCCTCAGCAGCTCCCCAACCACTCGCATTCCCAGGAAGTCTGAAAAACAAAGGAAGCTTTCTCAAGTCCTGAGCTTAGAGGCCATCAGATTACACACGAGACATGGACAGTTACACTGAGACTGAGTCAATGAGAGGACAGCTCAGAACCACTGAAGAGAAGGGGCGCTGCAGCCAAAAGCTGCTGGGAGGCTCCATGCGCTGTGCCGACACCAGCTGGCAAGACAGGCCACAGCAGGGCGGCAGCAGCAGCCCAGGCCCAGGTCCTTGGCCCTGCTCTGAACCAGACGACAGGGCCACCTCTGTCTTCACACCTGGAGAACAAGGCCAACCTGCTCTCACCCCCATCCCAGCAGGTAAAAACATCCAAATACGTCCAGCAGGACAGATTACACAGAGAGGCAGCTCTACTAGCAGTTTTAAGACAAGTTTTCTCTTCTTTTTCCTTAATTTCCAAGTATCTTCCTCATATCTTTATTCAGATGAAAATGCTCAGGAAGTACTTGAGTCCCAGCAGTTTTCACCTTACAGTTTTCTACATTTATTACCAAAGGTGAACACTTCAATCCCAGCTTTCCTGGTGGCCTTAAAGGAAGCTGATAAATGACATATCTGCATTAGCAGTCCTACTTTTAAGAATCAATTCTACAGAAATAAAGCATTGATATAAAGTTATAATACAACAACTTTGTAATAATGATCCTCTAAATTATATACCCATGATACTGAACATTATACAGTATCAAAAGTAGCGCAATACACAAGATGGGAGTCTTACCTTAAGCCATATATAGAAATTAACTCAGTGCCTCAAAGACTTAAAGGTAAAACCTGAAGTTTTAAGATTCCAAGGAAAACACAGGGGAAAGTCTTCAAGGCACTAAATTTTGCAATGATGTCTTACACGGGACACCAAAAGCAAAGGGAACAGAAGAAAAATAAACTGGACCGTATCAAAATGTAAATGTCTGTGTATCCAAGGATGTAATCAAGAGCAAAAAGGTAACGCAGGGAATGGAAGGCACCATTTACAAATCATCTATCTGGTAAAGGATTTGCAGAAAATATAAAGAACCTCTACAACTCAACAACAACCTAAAATAATCCAATTAAAAAAATGGATGATGAACTTGCATAGAAACTTTTCCAAAGAAGACACATAAACGGCCAAAAAGCATGGGAAAGGATGCTCAGCCTCATTGCTCACCGGGGAAATGCAAGTCAGAACCACAGTGCTGTTCCATTCCATGCCCACTGGAACTGGCACTACTGAAAACAAAACCCCATAAAGCAACAAGGACAGGCCAGAACATGGAGGAACCTGAACTGCCCTGGTGGAGCCATGTGGACGCTCCTCAAGTTCGAATAAAGTTACCAGGTGATCCAGCAATTCCACTCCTTGGTATATGTCTAACACAAATTGAATACAAGGTCTTTTTTTTTTTGGTATGTTTTGATTCTGGGGATTGAACACCTGGTACTTTGCCACTGAGCTACAGCTCCTGTTTGTTTTGGAGGCAGATCCTACTGAGTTGCTCAAGGCCTTCCTGAAGTTGGCCTCAAACTTGCAATCTTCCTGCCTCAGCCTCCCAAGTCACTGGGGTTACAGGAGTGTGCCACCATGCCCGACCTGAAAGCAGGGTCTTTTTAACTTTCTTTTTCTTTTGTGGGGAGTATTAGAGATTGAACCCAGGGGAGCATTACCACAACTAGACCCCAGTCCTTTTTATTTTAAGCCAAGGTCTCATCTGAGGCTCTGATGTGATCCTCCTGAGTTACTCAGGTAACATGTGTGGCCACTGCACCTGGGAGCTGAAAGCAGGGTTTTGAACAGATAAGTGTCCTCCCATGTCCACAGAAGTGTCATCTGCAATAGGCAGAAGGGAAAAGCAACCCAAGTGTCCACTGGGGTGAAGGAATAAACTAACATGTCTATTCATACAGGGAATATTATTCAACCTTAGAAAGGAGGGACATTCTGACCAGATTACATGGGAGAAGCTTGAAAGGATGTGCACCATCACATCACTACAGGGGAGACCCTGGCACTTCCACCTGAGGGAAGCACCAGAGCCGTCAAGTTCACAGAAGAGACAGCAGAACAGCAGGTGCCTGGGCTGGGAAGGAAGGATGGAGAGGTCCTATTCTGTGGGTACAGCTTCCGTGCTGCAAGATGGACAATGTGGTGGCGGCATGACACAGTGAGTATACCTGACACCACTGAACGTGCTCTTAATGTGGGCAAGATGGCAAGTTCATGTTATATGTATTTCTTCACAAAAAAAAATACATTTTAAAAGTTAGACCTGTTCGTTTACCTAGAGGGAGAGCTATTAGTATATAATCAAATACAAAAGCCAGAAGGTAGAAACTACACATGGGTAGTACTGTCGCATTCTTCAAACTAAAACCAAAGAATCCTGTGTGCCTGCATGCCTGTCTCCATCTGCCCAGCACAAGGAGCCAAGAGAGAAGGACCCACGCCAGGCTGTCACACTCTGGGTCCTGAGAGGAGGCTGGGTTAATGTTGCCTTCCATACTTCAGCAGGGCTAGAACCAGTCTTGGGAACATTTTAATCTATAAGGTTAAAAAAAAAAAAAAAAAAAGGAGCAGATCAGTACATACCCATTCCTGCTGCTATGACCGGCACAGGCAAGTCGTAGTTGTACAAAAGAAAAGAGAGCATCAGAAAGTCAATGTAACTCCGGTGACTAGGCAGCAGGACAACGGGGTGCTCCTGGATAGCACGTTGAAGCTTGAAGAAATATATTACATTTGGAATAATTTCAGTTATCACATTCTCTATGATTTTAAATCATACCTCAAATCAATCAGGAGGACAAGTCTATGCTTAAAGGTAATGCTAACCATGTTTTTGCCTTCGCTACATACATACAAACTTCACTTTCTCTGACCAGATTAAGTATTATTTTAGAGTTCTAGTTAAATAATTTCACTCAATACAAGAATATTAAATATATAAATTTTATGAATCAGAATAATAACGATGATCACAAGCATGTATTATTTGGCATTTTCTACACCAGTCATCTGACGTGGATTTACTAACATGTATTTGTAAGTAAGGTCTAAGCCTTTGCTTCCCTGTTGATCCCATGGGCATGCACCTTATGAATGGTGGAGCTGAGGGTGAGACCCAGGTCAGCCTGCCTTACACAACCAACCCAAGTCAGCTGCAGTGGTGCATGCCTATGATTCCAGCAACACAGGAGGCTGAGGCAGGAAGACTGCAAGTTTGAGGCCAGCCTCAGCAACTTGGCAAGGCCCTGAACAACTTAGTGAGACCCTGTCTCAAAATAAAAAATAGGAGTGGAGATGTGGCTCAGTAGTTAAGTACCCCTGGGTTCAATCCCTAAGACTGAAAAGAGCCAACCTGAAGTGTTGCCCTGGCCTGGGTGCTTACAGCAACATAGAGCAAGGGCTAGCTTCTCTGGGAGAGATTTAACAGGGGCTTTCATTAGTGTTTTTGTTTTGTTGCAGTACTGGGCATTTAATGCAGGGGTGCTCTGCCACTGAGCTTAATCTCCAGCCCTTTTTTATTTGAGACAGGGTCTCACTTAGTTGCTAAAGCTGGCCTTGAACTTGCAATCCTCCTGTCTCAAGTCTCTCAAGTTGCTGGGATTACAGGTGTGCACCACCACAGTCAGCAGGATTTATAAATTAGTAGGACAAAATAAGAGGAATATTTTTCTCTGTGTCTGACTGCCTGGAGAATGGGCATCACATAGTTGGGAGAGACACTTGAGATTCCAGATATATTCAAGTCACAGATTCAAACACAGTCACTGGTATCAATTTGTTACCTGTTTTTCTGAAATAAAAACTATAAGGCAAGCTTCCCAATAGCACCAGCAAGGGAAGGACCACTAGGCAGTCTTCAGAGCAATGCGATCCAGGCAAAAACTAGCAGTGGATGCACACCTAGTGGGCAGTCGGACAGAAACAGGATGGTGACTGTTTCCAAAGTCCCTCAAGATGCTTACTATAGACAGAGGGAATGTAAACTCTGCAGTGGAGAAACTCGGGAAGCACAGCCTCAACCAAGTGATGAGGGACACCCCGTGAGGAACAGTACAGATGTGCTGAGGAGAACCCAGCATCGCCTCTAAGGTATTCCTGCCCAAAGTGCACCCCTGAGCCCACCACAGAGGGACACAGTTCACGCCTAACCCAAGGGATATGACATAACTGGCCTCTGCTGGGAACAGCATGATACCCAGAGACACAAGCAACTTGTGTCTGAGAACTTGTTCTGGATCAACGGACTCGAAGGAGAGGGGAGGCTGGACATAGCCCACACCCTAGGGCTTCTCTGGCGCTACAGAACATGAGTGTGAGGAGTGCCAACGGCAGCTGTAAGGTCCACATCACAAGTGCCATGTCCCGGCTGATTCATGTTGGTAACTGTACCATAAGAGAATGACTTTATCTATAGGAAAACATTGGCAAACAGGATAAAGGAAATGTTGGAGAGGAGTCCAGGTGAAATATAGATAAAATTCTTTGTATTACGTGTCTAACTTCTGTGAACATGGTATGTTGACTAGTCTGAAAGTCGTACTTGACCAAGTATATTAGTCTGAAATCAGGAGTCTAGAGCTAAAAGGAAGAAGGCAAAACCAAGCCCCAGAGAAGCACATCCTCTTCTGCCACGCTAACGCCTGGTGCCTGGGCTCTCAGCATCTGCCAGCTCAGGAGATGCCCGAGTTGTTGCCAGGGTACAGAAGGGCTGGGTCTAAGTCAGTACTCACTTTCTGAATGCCTTCTTCATTCACACACACCTTCGAGAAAATCTGTTTAAATATTTTACTCAAGGCGAAGGCAAAAAACCGAATGACTCCCAAACGCAGCTTATGGCTCATCTCATCCAGGATCTCACACGCTTCCTCGCGGAGGACATCAACAGACTGGAGAGACTCCATAGAGAGCTGGAAGGAGAGGGACGCAGAGATAAGCCAGAACTCTATTCCAAAAGTATAGTTAGCTTCAAATGGACCAGAATTATACAACTCCAAGATAATGTGTTTTCTTCTTGTTTTAAATTGACACAGTGCTTTTTCCAACACAGTGAAGTAGATAAATGGTCTTCTTTTTCTTCTTTTGGAAGAAAATCACTTTATATTCATTAATTCACAAAGAATAACATTAAAACAGCCAGTTTAAGGAAGGCACACAAACATTTTCCAATCCCCCAATTCTGTGTCAACTCAGTGACCAGAGCACCCTTTTCCACTGCCATATAGTGATGTTATAAAGTGAGGTTTTACACTTCACACTTCCATCTCCTATGACACCTTCATGCTAAAGTAACTTGGTCATCGGAGCCAACTTTCCACTTCTTTGATTTGAACTTTTTGATGAGAAGAGTCCACCTGCAGTTCTGCACTGTCTCAGCACCTCACTGAAACCCTCACAGGGCTTAACATCACCCCGATTCTGGGCACATTTCAAAAATTGTTTTATCTCATAAAAGCAAGAGCCTCCCCCCMACACACATGGTGCTGCTGCTGTGCTAGCTGGCTCCCTGAGGCTCCTGGTAAGTGATGGCACAGCCCAGTGTGTGCCCCACAGCCACATCCACTGCAGCAGCAGGAGAGCCACCTGCAGGTGGTRGGGCTGCTGCTGGTGCTGGCCTGGGTGCAGCTCTTAGCCAGCAGGCCAGGCTGGCTGGGGGGGCCACAGGCCAGGTGCGGCCCCAGCTTTCACTTAGCATGCTAAGCATGTGGCAGCTATGTCCAGAGTGCAAATCTGAATGAGCTCATGTAGGTAAGTTTAAAGGCTAGAAATGTGAAGAGAATCAGCATTCCAGAGAAAGGAGCCAGGCAGGAGACCAGGCCCACAAAATGGCTGCTGCTTACAGTTCTCGACCCCAGACAGGAAGACAGAAGAGGAAGGGCTGAGACCACCACCATCCCTCCACTGTGCAGTGCCTCCCTCTTCGTGACAAGCTGACACTGGCTGTTTTACCATCATTTGGTGAAGACAAGAAATGAATTTTTGGAATACAGGGGCTTTGAAGTCTGATCCTGGCTTCAGTTCTCCCCACGAGTGCACACCAGACCTCACCCTTCCTTTTCCTTGTCATTGGGGGCTCCTTGAAAYTAGTCCAGGTTCTTCTGAGGCCAGGGAAGTTAAAATTCTGCAAATCTGTGGTACCAACCAGCAAGGCAGGCATATTGGTACAGAGAAATCTGGCTGGTTTGGGAGATCTGTTCTATGATTTGTCTAAGATTGCACAGTGCTAATTCTATCTGAGGGCCCCCTGGAGAGGTTCTGGCTGACTTGAGCTATTTATAGCTATGAAGATTACTTGAGACTTGTATGATGTACTGTGGCCTGTGCATCTGAAAGCATACCCTAATGGCTGCTCTAGGCATTCTGTTAGTCAGCTGTGTTATGGCCATTGACTTGATAAAGGCTAAACTGGTTTAATATAATTGTTTTATGAGTTCTTTTAGTTTGATTTTTTGTTTGACTGGCTTTAAAGAAACAAAAAAAAATCTTATGGTTGTAGCAATAGTCTTATTCAAAATTTATAAATCTTCCTARGTGTGGTGATGCATGTCAGTAATTCCAGCGACTTGGGAGGTTGAGGCAGTAGGGGCAGAAGGAGCACAAGTTCAAGGTCAACCTGGACAACTTAGCAAGACCCTAGAAAAGAAATGGAAAGGAAAGGACTGGGGATGAAACTCAGTGGTAGAGCACCTGAGTAAAATCCCCAGCAACCCCCACACTCAAAATAACTACAAAAGATGTAGCAACACGAGGTTCCCCATGTCTAGTAACAATAAGATCACAGCAGAGCCAAGAGGTGCCCATGCCTAGTGACACTGCAGCTGTCCAGAGGTCTTAGCACAATGCATGGCTCCCAGGCTGTGGTGATACTGGAGTAAGTCAATAGGAATCAGGAACCAAGAGCAGGCAGCTCCAGGGGCCCCTGCAGGACGTGTTGCCTAATGGTAGCTCCTATGTCCCTGGTTTATGTACTTACTATGCCCCACTTTCTACTATTATTTTACAGTGTATTTCTCCTACTTGTTTAGAAAAAAATTTTAAAAATACTGTAAAATAGCACATGTGGGACTGGGGTGAGGACCATGGTGAATGCTTGCCCAGCATATGCGAGGCCCAGGTTCCAGCTCAGCACCACACACACAAGAGGCAGCACGCTGCCTTGATCCTGGTGCTCAGTCAGGTCTCCCATACGTCACACCCTCTGTGCTTGACTTAGCCTTGTGCTGTTTTGCTTCTTGTGAGCCTCGGAGCAATAGGCTCCACCATGTGCTTTCACAAGTCCAGCTATGGAGGAGGTACATGCTACAATGTTCCTTACAACAATGAAACTGCCTACCAACACACCTCTCCAAACCCAGCCTCTTTTTTTTTTGGTACCAGGGACTGAACTCAGGGGCACTCGGTCACCAAGCTACATCCCCAGACCTACTTTGTATTTTATTTAGAGACAGGGTTTCACTGAGTTGCTTAACACCTCATTGTTGCTGAGGCTGGCTTTGAACTCGCAACCCTCCTGCCTCAGTCTACCGAGCCGTGGAGATTATAGGCGTGCACCACCATGCCCGCTCCATGAGGGTTTTTATTCATGAGGAAATCTGACTTCACTTGTGAAACAGGCCTAACTGGAGAAAACTGGTAGCTTCTCTGATACATAAGGCCAATCAAAACAAAGGGATTAGGAGCACAAGTCAACATCCAAATCAAAAGAGAAATCAGAGGGTGGAGAGAACATTCCCCAGGCCATGAACCAGATTAAACTCAAGGTAAAAGCCAAGAAGCAAGACCTCTACAGCTAAGTCTCAGGGAACGAGAGCCAAATCAAGAAGCTGAAAATGCCTTTCTTCTTCCCCAGCCAATTCCAGAAGGCCAGAGAGGAGGCTGCAGGACCACGACAGCCCGACCCACCATCCAGAGCACAACCTTGCAACACAGGCACCTCAACCAGGGACCAGAGTGACAGGTGAGGCCAGGCAGAGGGTCAGCCTAAGGGAGCCAGTCCTGTATACAGGAATGAGTCCCTATGTATGTGAGGCATAGTTTCTGAAGGTGCTCTCTTCCTTCCTCTGCAGATCACAGCAGTCACACATGGCTTCCTTGAGGATATCACAGAGGAGCAGAGCCCATAAGACAAGGGCGGAAGAGCATGTGCACTTCCTAGAGGAGCCCGTTAGGAAAGAGCATGCTCTCCTCTGATCCGAAAAAAAAATGGAGCCACGGAGCAAAGGAGGCCCACACCACTAATGGCCAGGCCTTCTGTGCTATTAGTATAGCTATGGTCCTGAGGATCGGGTGGGATGAGCACAGGTCAGCAACAGCCTCAAGGGCATCAGTCTGTCACCATGGACTTGGGCCTCATGAGTGCCTGGTTAGGGGACGCACAGGGCTGGCCATCAGGAAGCTCCCATCTTGTCTATGGAACACCTTCCTTCTGAGGTCTTCAAATCACACATCCAGAGCGAGCCTTGCTCCCTTCCCAGTCCTGTTCTCTGGTCTAAGTTCCTTTCCCACTGAACAGCTCCACTTCCTTCCTTCCTATATCCTACAACCACCAAAAAAGATCAGCTTCACCTCTCAATCTCTGAAGCTTGTCCATTCCTGTCCTAATAGCTGTACCCCAGTGCAGGCAATGACAGTGGCACCTGGGGACTACTGCAAGAGCCCCATGAGCACTTCCTGTCTTCGGTGTTCTGAGGGCACTCAGGCGCACTCTCACTCTACCTCGAGAGCCTTCTGCGGCTTCACACCACAGGCCAACAAAGCCCTACCCAACCGGCCCCCACTCACTTCTCCAGGCTAAAAGCTTACCATCATCCTCTCTTTGTTCTTTGTTCTGAGCTATTTTTAGTATGTGAGAGTACWCGTTCTCTTAATACATGTTCTCTTAGTTCATGTTCTCTCTTAAATCACACTGGCAGCTTCCAAACTTTGYTATTCTTTGGAATCTGGGCTCTTTGAAACACTCCTGCTGCAGGTTCCCTCTCGCTGACATTGTTAACTGAGCTGGCACGGACACGGGCACAGGCGTTTCTCAGAGCTCCACAGGTATTCTAACACAGAGGTTTGCAGTCATAATGATCTGTCTACTAGAACTTTCTTCATCCACTTCACTGGAAAAACCTGAATCATCTTTCAGATCTCATTTAAAAGTAAAATCACTTCCCCCACGCTCCACACCAAATTAACAGTCCTTATTAACTATTTAGTGTCTTTGGATCTTGGGCCACCGCTAGTGTGCCCTGAACTGAATTTCACTGTAACTGTGTGACCGTCATTGTTCCCTGCCAGCCTAGACACTGCAACTGGTGGCAGCAGTTCTCAGTGTCTAGGAAAGAAGCAAACACACATTATAGGATGTCAGGTATCTGGTGAATGTGCTGAATATAGCTAAACCTAAAAGAATACATTCAAAATAAAATCAGAGAAACAAGAAGGAACTGGTTACGATGAATAAGTCTGGCTGTGACCAAAGGACTCACCTGCTTAATGACATAATGAATCTCTTCAGAACTGAGAACACTGTATTTAATATCATTTGGCTTGCAAGGAGTAATTCCCTTATAGACAAGAGGCGTGTAGCACTTCATCGCAAACTTCAAGTCACTGACATGTCTCCTCTCCTCTAAGATATCTTCAAAATCATCCCACTTTTTAAGCTCTTTCTGTGAATAAGGCAAATCAAAGAAAGTAATGAGCACATACTATAAAACAAATAGGACAGATTAGGGATGACATAGGAAAGGTTTCACCTTTACCAAAATATTTATTCCATGGCATCTGGACAAAAGAATTGAGTGTTCTGACGTTAGGTTTTCATACACTAAGAAAAAGAAATGTGGGGTTGGGGTCGTGGCTCAGTGGTAGAGCGCTTGCCTAGCACATGCGAGGCCCTGGGTTCGATCCTCAGCACCACATAAAAATAAATAGAATGAAGGTATTGTGTACAACTACTTCTAAAAAATACTTAAAAAAAAAGAATGTAACAATTATTAGAATCAATTCATCAATACTGAATTTTTATCATATTTTTGGTTGCTATTTTTGTAAAGCCAGTACCCCTTTGGGAAACTTAACAAAAACAGCAGAGACAAGATTAAGCTCCAGAATAATCTCATCAGTTTTGCAAGGTTTCTTCTATCACACTGACAGACTTTCATCTGCCTCTACTTAGCTTTAAAAATTAAATCAAAATATATTAGGAGCCCACATTTGACATATATGGGCTTATGTCAAATAAGCCCATACAAGTGCAAAGAAAATGGAAGATCTCTCAAGAAGAAAGTGCCCACACGGGCTCTGACAGAGAGTCTGTGCCACTGTGGCCACATACGCTCAATTGCCATGGCTCGGCTTCTCTCCACCCAACCAGCCCCCAGCGCAGCTCTTAGAAGCCTACCAATAACTCTTGGACTGCTATTTTAAAAAGACGTCCTCTGATTGTAAAAGTAAGAGTGGTGTTGATATTCTCAGCTAGCACGTCTAAATTGCACACTGCGTGTGAGAACTCTTCTAACAGCTCTGAACAGAGAAGCAAGCCTCTCAACAAACCCAGGAGGGGCTGGCATTCTCAGTCCCAGCTTACAAGGGGACTCAGGCACACAGAGGTGGACTTAGGTGGACTTTCCTCAGGCCAACTCCTGAACACCTCCACACTGCTGCAGGGCCTGATCATGGAAAATCTGGAAACACTGTAACACATATAAAAATATAAATTGCTCCCAATCCTATGACCCAGGAACAACCTGCTCACAACATGTAATAGTTTCCTTATTGTTTTTCATTCATGGTATAGAAATACATGTTTTTATTCAAAACAAGAACCATACAGTTTACCTGTTTTCAACTCAGAGTACTGTTTTAAACCACTTTAGTGGCTGCACAATCATCATGTTCCCTAAGTACTTAAAATATCAAATTACCAAAGCAACATATGTTCATTATAAAAATTTAGAACATACAAGCATAGAGAAAAAATTAAAATCACCTAGATCCTGAGACACTTTCATGAATTCTTTTTCTCTAAATGCACGGATGGACACATTCTTTCCTTGCCACATACACACTGGGACTCGCAACGTGTTTCTTTTCATTTAATGTCATTAAATATTGCTCCATGCCATTTAAATTCCTTCATTTCTTTTTTGTCTGGGGATCAAACCTAGGTGCCTGTGCATGCTARCAAATACTCTACTACAAAGTTATACCCACAGCCCATCTTTGATTATTCTTTATTTTGTTGTTGTTCTTGTTATTATGGGGATTGAACCCAGTGGTGCTTTTACCGCTGAGCTACACCCCCAGCCTATTTATTTATTTGTTTGTTTGTTTATAGACAGGGCTTTACTAAGTTGCCAAGGCTGGCCTCAAACTTGTGATCCTCCTATCTCAGTCTCCCAAGTAGCTGGGATTACAGGTGTATGCCACCATGTCCAGCAATATCATTATTTTTAATGTTAAAAATTCATATAATTCTTCACTCCTTGCTATATACAAAAACACACATTCTTAGCCCCCCCCCAACATCCTTCTTTCAGTGAACCCCTCCATCCTGGCCTCTTCCAGCTTTCATCCTGCCAGCCTCCTCTACTATATAACACCATTATCTAGTGCTCCCTCTCCCTGCCCGCCTCAAACTGTCCAGCAATTTCCCTGCTTTGGTCTTTAATTCATGGCTCTCTGTCACAGTAGAAAAATCTACCTTGCTTCTGTAATCCAGTGACTCTCAACCTGGGAGAAGTTTTCCCCTTACAAATTTGTGTTCTTTCCCCCACCTCCCTCATTCAGTTTCCTCCTCCAATCCCCTCTGTCCATCCTCCTCACGGTGCTGGGCATGGGCACACACTTCCCGGCTTTCTGGTCCGGCTTCTCCTGCCTCTCAGCACACACACTTGGTTGCCACACTTCACATCTGGCCTTTCACAAAGGAACTCATTGCTCTGCAAGGTCCTGAACGCCATCCTGTTCCTAAGATCTCAGTCTCCAGGCCCCTGTCATCTGCAGCCTTCTGTATCACTCTAGTGCCTCTCCCCTCACCCTTTCTGTCCAGTCCTAACCTGGCTTTGAGCATGCACCCTGTCCACTTGGCAACTCACCACTGCCCTGGTCGTCTCTCAGTGCAGCTTCAGCCCTTTCCTTCAACAGCCCCTCTGCTGAGCTCACCCGTCCTCTGCACTCACTGCCTCTGTGCTCTTCTCAAGAGAGTTCTAATCAGACCCAACCCTACCATGCCATGGCACCCATCAACCACTCCTGGGAGAGGGAACTGCACTGCCCACCATGCTTTCTTTCTGGCACCTGGCCTTATACATCTGCCCATCTGTTCCTGTCATCCCTGCATAGGCACCCCTTCTTCTGTGAAGGCTCCCCTTGAGTTCCACCTGGAATTACTGACACCTCCTCATGTGGACTTCTTCACCTAGAATCCATGTCTATTACAGTATGTATCCTACACTCTGTGACTGTCAGCATGTCTTGTCTTGATACTAGAGCACAATTATCTTAAGATAAGACGGCCTATTTCTTTATCTTTCCAGCATCTGGCCATGATGCTGGAATTCTGACATAAAATTGCAGTCACTGCAACATATCACACACTCTTGCTCATAAGCCATTAATAAGGAACATACAGCTCTATCATCCCAGTTAGACTGCAACAAACTATCATCATATAACTTGAGGGTCAAAAGGGATCTTGAAACTTTCCATTTAGTGGTCCTTGGAATAGAAAGAGAAAAGGATCAGGATCAGGATCAACAGGGAACAAATGGAGGGCAGAGCAATCAGGACACCAAGAGCAGCAAAAACAGGCACTTTAAGAAAGCCTGCAAAAGGGCTGGAGTTGTGGCTCAGCGGTAGAACGCTCGCTCAGCACATGTGGGGCCCTGGGTTCAATCCTCAGCACCACATAAAAATTAAATGAATAAAATAAAGATATTGTGTCCAACTACAACTAAAAAATAAATATTAAAAAAAAAGAGGGGCTGGGGTTGTGGCTCAATGGGTGCGAGGCACTGGGTTTGATCCTAAATACACATAAAAATAAATAAATAAATACAATAAAGTTATTGTGTCCAACTAGAAACTAAAAAAAAAAAAAAAAAAAAAAAAGCCTGCAAAAGAGGATCAGCAGCAACTTTTGCACAGTTCTGTTACCTGCAGGGCCAAGTCCACACCTCTTGCCTTATTACTCCAGCTTTTCATGACCCCTACCACTTCCTCTCTTTGACAGTCTTGCTGTAGACATGCAATTCCCTAAACAAAGAATGCTATTTCAGGGCTCTCCAGACCTCTCTTCAAGTTAACACCTCGGCAAAAGAGCATTCGTCCTTACATATTTGAGCACAACTGTAAGCTTGGCTTTGTGGTTTGTGTTGGGACAGAGTGGTGATCAAAACAGTCTCTTTTATAAGTAATAAGTGCATGGCGATACCAGCAATTGAGAGAGGCATAGATTTTCAAAATGGTACCTCTAACATTTTATTAAACCTGTATTTGGTGCCTCCTGTACAAGACTGTGAACTTTCTGTTGAGGTAGGTAAAGTGTCTTCTACGTTTCTGAACCTACTATTATCAGTAGGATCTCAGTCATCATAGAATGAAATAAGGCAGTTACTTCTTGAATCCTGTTGACGACAGCTTCCTAACATTCATAGGATAAAGCTCAAAACTCCCCAGTTTGGCTCTAACCCAACGTTCAATCAAGTGGTTTTTAACCCAAGCTGCACATTAAAATACCTGGGGAAACTTTAAAAATACTAATGCTCAGGCCCCACCACTAGGGGGTGCTTGGTTAACTAGTTCTGTGAGCAGTGAGTGCCTAGGGCATCAGGATTTCTAAAAGTACCCTAAGTGGTTCCCATGTGCAGGCAGGGTCAACTGCTTATCAACTGGCCCTCCCTTAGGCCGGCTAGGAGTATTGATTATCACTGAGTAGACATATTTGCATGGCTACTCACCCAGGAATATAAAACAAAGGAAAGCTAAGTAAGAGGTGAAGTGGGCACTCTCCTTGTCTGAGTCTGCAGGCAGGCTCCCCAGCTGATGGCTGGACAAGCCTCTACTGACTTCTGAACCTCCCTTCTGACTGCTCCAGAGGACCCATTCACTCAGAAGAAGGTCACCAATTGCTCCAGCACCAGCCACCAGGCACTGTTGTACATGCCTTAAGTTATACACTGGGTACACAACTTGAACAACGCAGGCAAGAGTCCAAGGGAGGAGAGCTACATGCCCTCAAGGAAAGACAAACAACAAATAAATAAGGTCAGTTAGCTTAGTGAAACCACCAGTAATGTGCTGCTGGTGAGTATCCAGACATTTGACAAACGCCATGGAGAGCCCTGACTTACAGCCCTCACCACTTTAAGCTCAACAGGGGAAAGATGCACAGCAGCACGTGTTTCAGGAGTTCTACCTTCCAGTAAGACACACACATACACAACCTCCAGAACATATTATAAGATTCAGAAAGGTAACTAGGAAATGCTAAGTTTTGAGTATTACCATTGTTTTAAATAGACTTTAATTGTAAGTGTATATAATTTACTTTTTGATTTTAATGCATGTATTTTTATGCAGTGCTAAGGATTGAACCCAGGGCCTCACATGTGCTAAGCAAGTGCTCTACCACTGAACTGCAGTCCCAGCCCTACTTTGATTTTTAATAATGGTTGTATTTGAACACACATTCACACACACTTGGTGAATATTTAACTGTCAGCTGTGGCAAGCCTACTGGCTTTATACTTAAAGGAATAAAGTAGGGGACCTGATGGGAAGTGACTTGAGAGCTAAATAGTTGCTGGAAGCCTCTCTGAGGAGGTGACAGGTGAGTTGGGATATCTATATTAAGAAGAGCAAGCAGTGCAACATTGTGGAACACTGCACGCCACACTGAGACTATTGCACACGCATTCTGAGCAGAGGGCATGCTTATTTTAAGCCTGAGAAATAGAAGGTCAGGTGGCTGCAGACTATTAGGCAAGATCAGGAAAGTCAGAGCAGTGGCAGTTACCAGACCACACAGAGTCTTATGGAACACAGCAAAGGAATCACGTCAAGAGTCCCAGGACTTTTCCATTTGTCATCCCAGAATCTCACTGAAAGACCACAAGTACTCCTCTGGCTTTGGATACAGCTACTAGCTGATGACTGCCGGAGCAGCATGTTACTCCAGACCTTCCTCTTTTGCTCTGGTACCATATTGCCACTCTACTTGATGTCTTCTCAAATGATGATGTTGTTTCTGGTCCATAATATGATAATCAACAAGCTAAATATCTCTTACCTCAAAATGAACACATCCCAAACTGAAATTGATATATTACCTGTCAAAACCTGTTTCTCTCCTGTAAGTCCTGTCAAAAGGCATCAGCTGCCCAGTTGCCAAGTCACAGAAACCCAACAGTCTATGTCAGATTGCCCCCCTTCCCTTAGCCAACTGGCTCCAAGGGCCAACAACTTGCTGTCCTAAGTCCCACAAACATTCACGGCCTTCCACCAACCTCATTGCACTGGSCTACTCCAGGCTTCCTTGCTCCTCTGGATTCTTGCAATAGTGTCCCGATCATCTCTATGCTTATGCATCAGATTCCCTCCCCACCCTGATTCCCATCCTACACTCTCTGTTTAAGTAAAGGAGGTTGCCCACAGATAGTCGTGCCAGAAACCAGAAGCTGAGTATAAATGGCCTACCGTAAAGCCAAGATTGTTATCCTTAAGGATGTAGACATGATATCCATATTTGTTAGGAAATGTCCTTTGCCTGCTTCTTCTGATTCTCATGTCCCCTTTGCCATATCCTTACCTGACTGGCTCCCCAACACAAGTAAGGCAGTGGTTTTCTTACATAATGCCTAAGACTGTCTTCCTCTCCTTCACCTACCATTCACACTTCAAACCTCAGCTAAGGTGTCACCTTCTCTAGGAACCCTTGCAGAGTCCACAACAACCAGGTGTATCTCCATTTTACTACCACAATATATGCTGTGCCCTTAGATTACTTAATTGTAATTATTTATTCACTTATGACTTCCCATGTCCTTAAAGGCAAGGGCTGGATCTGTAACACCTACATATTAGACATTGAGAATAATGACTATGATACTGTAGATACTTCTAATGTTTGCTTTAATCAGAAGTATCTTAAATACCTCTAAAGAACTAATCTCAGATAAGACAGAAAGTATTGCACAATAACAGTGGAAATGAGGACAACCTGAAGGAGTAAGAAGTAGTTCACTGAAATAAGACTATGCAATCACAAAGAGTAGCCAGAACTACTAATAAGAGGGCTGCTGTCCAGCATCAGAAGTACACTGTTCACATGCATTGTCTTGGTCTTTAATGTGAAAAAGTCAACAAGTCTTAGGGTTAAAAGGTCACTGATGAAGGAAGAAGCAAAACACCAACTCTGTTCAACACACACACAGAAAATTCCAGTCAATTCTCGAACCACTTTAGGACAAAAAAAGAAAAAGCTTTCCGTATGTTGGATCTGCACAACAACCCTGTTCTCCACAGGTCTGTCCTGCAGTATCAGAATCAGAAAACAAAGATGAAATATTTCCACCAAAGAACTGTGGGCTGACAAGGTCAGCGAGGAGAGAGGCTAAGGGTGATTAAGCTTGAGGGAAYAGGCAGTTAGCAGCAATCATAAATGAATGGCTCCTCACAAAGCATACTGGAGCTTCAACACACTACAAAGAGGACTGTCCCTATCTGGAGATGGTCACGTTCTCTTAGAAACTGGGGATTTTGTTTATTTTGCCCTTTTGTGTTTTCCTTGCGCTGACCTTCCTGCACAAATTAACACTATACTGTACCTAAATCAGAAACTTACGCTAACTGCCAGGACGTGGATTTATGTCTTCAAAATGCATTACTTCATTTCCTTCTAAAGTAGATAAAAATTAATTTGGTAATCAAAGCAACAGATAATAACTAGATCAGTTGCCCCAGTATTGTGCAATCTCAACGGCTAAAGGGCTCCCACCTTGCAATTTCTTCATGAAAATTTTAAGTACCAACATTTTGGTGTAAAAAACAAAGCAAGCAAAAAWACCCCACCAGTCCAAAGCCCAGAAGAGGAAGAGGGGGTGGCCGGAGTTGAAGTGGCCGGTAGGAGACAGGCTGGGTGGCAAAGGTTGTCCTCCAAAGTGGCTTGGAACAAGTGTAAGGACGAAGACCAGACCAGCTAGGCACAGAGCTCCCGGGCGTTCGGCTCTGCCAGCGCGGCCTCGACCTGCCTGCACACCAGCCGGGCGGCCCCGCGGCCCGGGTCCGGAGCCCGGGCGCGCGGCGGAGCGGCAGGCCCGGGGCCGCGGGGGAACCGCCCGGCGCGCGCGCTGCCGAGGCGCGCGGCACACGCCGTTGCCTGGGAACCGCGCCGGCACCCACGCCGCGGCGGCGGGCCTCTGCAGCTCAGGGCCAGGCTGGGCAAGCCCTGCTGCGGGCCCCGATCTCAGGCGCCTACCGCATAGAGGAGCGCGACAGCGCCGGAACTGGACGAGCCGACCGAGAAGTAAGGTCTGGAGGAGCTGGGAGCGTCCATGGCGCGGCTGCCTTCCCGGGCGGGGCCTGGGTTCCTCTGCTACGCGGCGGTGGTGCAGCCGCTGGGGGCGGTTCTTCCGCGCGGGGCGGCCCGACCTCGCCCAGGCCGACGGCACCCTCTGCGGCCGCCGCACGGGACCCCGGGTGCCGCCATCTTGCCCAGGACGGAAGCCGCGCGGGGCCCCGCGGCGCACGCGCAGCCGTCGGCGACGGAAGCGGAAGTGCGAGTGGCGAGTGGACTGCTGGCCGGGGTCCCGCGCGCGCGCGATGGCACCGGAATCAGCTTCCCCGGAGACCGTGGGCTCGGAGACGCGCCTGGACTCCCTCCTGCAGTCCCTCTACGACCTGGGTGAGTACGGCTCGCGTTGGGGCGTGACGGCGCTCGGTGCCTGCAGTCCGGGGAGCGCCGGCCGCCCGCGAGCCTCTACCTGCGACGCGAGCCTCTACCTGCGACGCGAGCCTCTACCTGCGACGCGAGCCTCTGCAGGGCCTTCTGCTGTCCACGAGGTGGCCGACCTTTCGCTCCCCTGTCTTCTTTTACTGGGCCAAAATGAAATTAAAAGGCTTATTATTAAAGATTGGCAACTGCCTAGCACTTCAATAGGAAGCCCAGCAGGGCTGACATGGCTGGCCACCTTTTGGTACCAAGAGCCTGATCTTAACTAGGTTATGGTAATGAAGACAAAGTCTATTTTGTTTTTATTTCGGAGCAGCTGCGGCTCACCTTGTCAGTAATAATCAGCTTAAAAGTATGGAGAATTTATCAGGCGCAATTTGCTTTTCACATACACCCCTTTAATTTTTACAACCTTGTGATTGTTAACCTTGTGGGTATGTCGTTATTCCTATTACTAGGAATGTAGAAACACACTGAAGGATACCGAGCTTGCTGAAGGTTACCCAGCTGGTTATTTGCAGATCCTGGGTTGCAGGGCCCAGAGCCTAACTCCAGATCCTGTCTTGTGATGAAGCAACTCTGTGCCCTTGGAAATATTGGAGGACAGAGAAGAGTTAGTCTCTGACTTGAGATGTTTAAAATCTAGAGGAAAAAACCAATCTGATATAGTTTGTTTCTACAGTCTTGAATTGTTATGCCAGAAGCTGTGAAAGCTTGGATTTTCTGTACTTGTTTTTATATCCTTAATGCCAGAGTGTAGCTGGCTATTAACACAGTTGGAGTAAATGACTAAGTAAATAGAAGCAAGCATAAATCACCAACTAATGTCCAGAGAGCTCTTGTATTTATACTGTCGGTGAGGAATGAGGCCCAGAATTTTGGTTAGAACCTTTAGATGACTGACCAGAGTTTGAATAGGTGAATCAAAAAGTAGATATAGGGATTGGTAGAAAATAAAGGTGTTTAAATTAAGCCAATCATCTTAAGTTGTTAATTGATAACTGAAAGAAAACAGGAAGACTGTTACATGTATCTATAATCCTAGAAAGTTACTTTTTATTTATTTGGGGTCAGTGCTGGGGATTGAACCCAAGGGTGCTTAACCACAGAGCTACATTCCCAGTCCTTTTTATTTTTTATTTTGAGACAGAGCCTTGAACTTGCAATCCTCTTGTCTCAACTTCCTGAGTTGTTGGATTTACAGGCAAGTGCCACTACATGCAGCCTAGAAAGTATTTTTTAAAAAGAAAGAAAATACATGTCATGTATCTGTAACCCTAAAATTAAAAAAAAAAAAAAAAAAACAGCATTGGCTGCTGTGTCAGACACAGTAGCACCATGTATGAGCCTGTTGGGATGTCCAGTAATGGGCACTGTCATGGTGCTGGTGCTTAGAGTGAGGACCAGAGTCATTGTATAAATATGGTCACCAAGGACATGATGGCTGCATTGTAGATTCTATAAGTTGTGGGAGTGTACTTTGACAAAAACAGTTTATTTCTTAGTGTGCACTGCTGTTACTTAATGGTTGTACCAAACGCAGTGCTTTCATATACTTGACATTGGTGATAGCTAAAACCAAAAATATTTGCTTCCTTTTTGTGTTTGAACAAACAGGAGAGACTGAAGATGAATCAGAACAGAAGAGGATCAGAAAGAAGAGGGAAAACAAGAAGAGAGATGTGGGAGCTGCAGCAGCCAGGTCAGTGGGGCCATCTTCCCTGCCTGCTTCACTTGAAAGAGGGCAGAGGAAGAGTGCTTCCAGCTTTTTCAAGGAACTCAGAGAAGAGATGCATGGTGCTCCTGATGTCACCTCCCAGGATCCTCCTTCAGGACCAGAAGTCTCTGCTGCTACATTACCACCCTTTCCCCACATAGAAGTGGTCAAATTTCACAGCAGAAATAAAAAAAGAAAACTGCAACCAGAACAAGATGAGCACACAAAGGTAAGAAGTTGATTGACCCCTTGAATGGTGGCATTAAGTTACTGTCTTTATAGATGGCATGCCACCCCTGGAACACCCCCACCTAAGGATTTGCTCATTCACAGGACTCAGCATAAAATTGTTATCTGCCATCTAGACTTGTAGACTGACCTTATCAAGCTCTCACCCTTCAGAGTTAATCAGTTCTTCATTATAAATCTCATAGTTGATGTAAACTACCGGCAAACTTGGTACCAGCAGTGGTTCAGGGTTTAAGATATGCAGGAAAACTCTGATAAGCATAAATACTGGTTACTTAGTGCTCAGGACCTGGCCAGCAGCAAGTCAAGAGAACAGAACTGTCTTGAGAATTGATAAGCCCAGACATGTTCAGTAAACTCCTTTCCATTTATAAGCTTTCTGCTTATTAGTGCTCAGGAAAACCTCAATTGTTCATCTCTTTCTGATATTCCTGCTAACTGCCAGCCACTGTTCTAGGCATTGGAATATAGCATCAAAATGTGCAGCAATCCTTGCTCTTGAGGAACTTGCATTCTGGTGGAAGAGCAGTTGATTTTATTGTCTTTTGGGTCAGATTTTCAGGTTTACCTCCAAATGTTTTTCCTCCACAAAGATATGTCCTATCAACTTTAGTCTATCAAAATAGGAAATGAGGATTGCATTTGTTTCTAAGGCTGCTGCAAAAATAGCCACAAAATTAGTGACTTAAAAAATTATCTTGCAATCCTAGACGTCAAAGGAGTCTAGAATCAAGATGTTGGTAAGGCTGTATTCCTTCTGAGGGCTCAGGGGAGAATCTTCCCTGTGTCTTTGATCAGAGGTAGCTCTGGGCATCCCTTGGCTAGCAGCTGCGTAACTGCAGTCCACTTTATTTTACTCTGCCTCCATAAGGACATCTTCCCTTGGGTTTAGGGGTCATCCTAAATCAAGATGACTTTCTGTTGAGATCCTTGTGCTCTAAAGATCCTTTTCCAAGATGTTTCATGGACATATCTTGGAGGCATACAGTTCCATCCACCACTAAGACAGTTTGGCTTGCAGTTGTTCTTTTTGGATACAGTACATCCTTAGAACTAACGCATTAGTGCCAGTGTTTGCTACCATGCGCCCACATCCCGCTTGGGCTGTGGGATCGGGATCCCTATGTGTCTGTGGGCTGCTGGCAAAAAGACCAAATGGACACGGAAGTAATTTTTTTCACAAAGCAGGGGTGAAACTGCTCTGCGACCTTAAGGGTTCTGCTTTCACACTGGAAGACTCTAGAGCGAGAGAGTGTGCGTGCATCCAGAATTCCCTTTATTTATAGGGAAATTAACAAAGGATTTTTGATCAAATGTTCTTCACTAAATAAGGCAGGAGTGGGCTGGTTAAGCTCCAGTGGGTAACGCCCAGGTCTAGAGCCAGGGAAAAGTAGACTTCTTGGCCAAGCAAAGGTGGAGGCCACCTGCCTCGTGCAGCCCAGACAGCGTGCAGTGCCAGACCAACACCCTTTGGGCTCAAGGCTACGAGAGGATGCTTCATATAGCTCAGGGGCGGCCCCCACAGTTTCCATGTCTTTACTCTAAAAACAACAAAAGCAAGCACTTACTGTCGGTTTACTAACATTTCTCCCTCAAGGATTATTAGAACACTCCAATTATCTCTACCTTTATTTTAGAATTCTAGGTCAGCTTCCCAACTCCTATGCTCCATATCCTGTGGTACTGGGACCTGTTAGGGGAGAGCCAAGAAATGGTCCTTTGCAGCCAAAGCCCTCAAGCTGTCTCCTGTTACCCCAGAGCTCCCTTCAGATACTAGTATTATGTGGGCAGCTCTGATGTGAGAGAACTGGGAAAGCCCTGCTTTGCTGTATAATTCAGGGCTGGAGAGTTCAGCCAGGATAAGTGTCTTGGTATCCCCTTACCCTATCCGCACTTCCACACGTGTGTCAGGCTTCACGTCCTTCCTAGACTCTTGTATGTTCCCCTTCTGAACGGGAAAGTTTCCTTCATTTTAAAAGGGTGGGGAAGTTAGCACTGAGTGATTGTGCGTTTCCCTGTCTCTCAGTAATAGAATGTCTGGCAGGCCATTGTGTGGTCCTTTTCTTTCTGTTCTGAGTCCTTTCTGTCGTGGTTACATTTTTCCCAGGAACCTTGGGAACCTTGACTCTGTTTGGTTTGAATTTACTGAGCCTAGTGAAATTTTCCATTTGTCCTTGATGTTCCACCGTTTCTTCTTTTTAAAAAATTTGCATCTTTTGGGCTGAGGTTATAGCTCAGTGATAGAATGCTTGCCTAGCATGTGTGAGGCACAGGGTTCAATTCTCAGGACCACATACAAATTAATAAGTAAGTAAAGGTCCATTAACAACTAAAAATATTAATAAAAATTCRTATCTTTTGAAAATGTTAGTTGTGTCTGTTTAAGGAAACTGCATGTGGATACAGTGAAAACACGTACACCCAGGAGAAGATAGAATCTCAGCTTTGCAGCAGGTGAATGTGACTTGGTCCCTGTAGCGTCCTCTTGAGTTGGGGCTCATGAGGTGCAGAAGCTGTGCTGAGAGCCTGTGAAATATGGGAAAGTGTAGTTGCCCTAGGGAGGTGTAAATAGCAGCTCCCCATGGTGGAATGAATGAATGAATAAGTGATCTCATATAGTTGCCTTTGTTCTCTGAAAGCACTTAAGCCATTATGGCACAAGTTCCAACAGACATGAGATTGGCAGAAATATGTAGCAATATAACAGTCACCTCTGGTGAACATCCAGGGCACCAGCTGTTTGTCTTTAGCAAGACCTTGAGAAAAGAGGAGGTGTGGGGTGAGCTACACAGCAGGCCACCTGGCTGGCCCTACTGAACCCAGGAAGTGGTCTTTTTCCAGGACTGAGACTTGAGCCATACATTCTGTGAGGAAACTGCCTTGTGCTTTACAACTGCTTGTCTTCGGCTTATATGGGAACTGGCCACCATTTATGTTGCGTTTTACCTGTCCCAAATAACCACAGGTGAACTGCCTGCTCCTGTGCTACTTCTAATGCACAAGAAATAGTAGGTTAAAAAAAAAAAAATCACTTATTCACTCATTTATTCCACACATAATTGAGTGCCTGCTATTTGCAGTCTCTAGGCAGCAGTAAACAGGTGTCGTTCTTTGCCCTCGTGAAATAAACTGTGTTGTCTGCTGGGGAGGCAAGCAAAACCTCAGATAAATTAATATAATTGGAAAGAATTGCAAATGCTCTGAAGAAATAGGGTCCCCAGCATAACAGGTAGAACCTACTAGATAGGTGGTCAGAGAACACTGAGGGGGCAGAATTGCCCGGTCATCAGTCGTTCTTTTTTTTTTAGTGTTTTGAGGAACTGCCACAATTCTCTATAGCAGCCACACCATTTCACATTCCTACCAGTGGAACACAGGATTCAAATTTCTTCACATTCTTGCAACATTTGTTATTTTCTTTTTTATGATAGTAGCCAGTCTAATGGGTATGAGGTAGCCTGTTCAAGGCTTTTGAAACTCTGATGGTGATCTATACTGTCATGATAGGGTACTAATGCAGTCAAAGATGATTTTAATAAGAATTCTTTTTTTTGCAGAGTAAAATTCTTGTCCTTGAAAAAGATGTGGATATTCAAGAATTTAACTTGGAAAAGGTATTTTTTTAAGATTGTTTAATTATTTGTAACTGATTTTATTTATTTATAAGTTCATTGTACTTGTATAAAATTTATCAAATGTTGTAAAATTTGTAGTCATTAACACCTTTATTTATAGTGCCATAAAGTGTTTTGCATGTATAGTGGTTAGGGAAGTGATTATGCAGATCCCGCTGGTTCACTTGATTGCATGCTGTGTGCTCTCAGAGACACAAAGTAGTGATGGTGACTATAATAAGCTAAAAACCAGGGACATGTCCTTGTTGGGATCAGAACAGGATTTAAAAATGCCTACTAAAAGGATAGGAAGAAGCCAGGCAGCACCCCAAGTGGGTATGGCAGCTGCTGTGGTCAGTGGTCCTGAGTAGGTGGTGTTTCTCAGCTCGTCTGCAAGCAGCCTGAGTGTCGCAGAGCTCTTCCCCGGTCCTAGTTGTCACTGATGCATGTGGAGATAATTTTTTCCTTCAGTGGTCAGATTTGACATGACAGTGATTTGCAAGGAGAGCTCCCTGGAGCTCCTTTACTGCACCTACAGGACCACAGTACTCTCTGCAGTTGGAGCCATGTTGCCCACACATGCATCCGGGTTGAATTCTCTTTTCTCCACAGGCTCGTTTGGAAGTGCACCGGTTTGGGATCATGGGCTATGGGAAGGGAAAGGAAAGAGTCCTGGAACAGGAGCGTGCCATCATGCTGGGTGCTAAGGTGAGGGGACATCTTCCATTAGCCACAGGGTGCAGAAAGAGCATCTCAGGGCAACACAGGGAACACTGGGACATTTCACAAAACAAAAGCTGACGATACATGTCCTTATTCTTTGATTTCAGCCTCCCAAAAAGAGTTATGTGAATTACAAGGTTTTACAGGAGCAAATCAAAGAAAAAAAGGCAGCAAAGGAAGAAGAGAAGAGAGTGGTAGGTGTGATGTGGGGAGCAGAAAGGCGGGGGTTATCTCCCACAGGGCTTGCTGGGGCTGTGGCCATGCCTGGAAGCATTCAGGAACACCACTGCTGAATGTTGGTTCCCTCCTCTCTGCCAGCCACATTTCATGATGCCAGCCAAGGGATCTGCTGCTCACCTGCAGGGGCTGTTTTGAATAGCAGGCGCCTGCCCAGGTGATGCTGGCTCTTCCCCTCTCTTGGCTGCCCTTATGCATCTTATGTGTTTTATGTTGTAAAGCACATGAGGCCCTTTGCAAAGCCCCAAGAATAAGTATGACACTTGGGTCTTTTCACCTAGAATAGAAGACTTTACTTTTGGTGTTGGTCTTACCTGGAATAGCCTTTCACATTCTTGAAAGGGCTTCAGATTGAGACTTTGAAACAGTCATAGTTAGTAGGCCCATTTGAAAAAATGACTAAAAATAACTGGTACCTTGGTTACAAACCTCTTGCCCGTTTTTGAATCTGCATTCTCCATTACTGACCCATATATTATCTTTAATTCTGAAATCAGGCACAGGATACAGATATTTTCAAGAAAAAGAAGAGGAAGGGGCAGGAAGACAGGTGAGTGTGCTGGCAGGAGCCAGGGCTGTGCAGCATGGGTGAGCCTCGGTCAGTGTGGCGGCAGCACCTGTAATGTGTGAGTGTCCTCCCAGGTCCACAGGGGAAAGGTGGGTTTTAGTGAGTTGTCCTGACCGAGGAGCTTCCTTGGCACTGAAACTGGAGCCCTCTGTTGTCAGAGACCAGGCCCCTTAGGGATTAGGGAGGAAGCTGGGCTGGAAGGGAGCCAGCAGCGGTCAGGTGGCCTGGCCGGCCACAGTGCGTGGCGGGGCTGTGAGGAGCCTGCCTTGCCTCTGCTTGCCTCTTGCCTTGTTCAAGCACTGCCTGCTCTTTCTTCAGTTCCTGTTTCCCACGTGACTTTTTTCTCTTGACCTTTTTTCCTGGATGCCTAGTGGTGCTTGCACATGCTGTAAAACGGTACTTTGTTCTGCCACAGCGATCCATGGAGTGCCCACTGTGTGCCAGGACGCAGGGGGCCAGGCACAGGTGTTGGTCCCCAGTCATGACCACACTGATGGGGTCCCTGTCCTCCAGGACTTGCGCTATAGGAAGGGAAGTGCCCCAAATAACACATACTGGTAGGCAAGGCAATGTCGGGCACTAGACTGTGAAGAGGCTGAAACAGCATAAGAGGCTGAAACAGCTTCCCAGGGAAGCTGGGAGGTCACTTGAGAGCAGTGACATCCATGTGCAGAACTGAGCAAAGGGAGGGCCAGCCTAGAAAGGTCAGTCTACTCCAAGGCCCTGAGGAGGAAGGCCTGCAGGACTGCATCAGGGTGGGTTCTGCAAGGATACTATAGCCTCAGTGCTACCAGCACCTGACCACATATGGTACCTTTTTCTCACCTTGAATGTAGAAAATCCAAAAAGAAGCCGGTTTCTAGTACTTCATCAAGTGGACAAGTTGGACAGGTTGGAAAATTCAGAAATGGGACATTGATTCTGAGCCCCCTTGATATCAAGAAAATAAATTCTTCCAGAGTGGCTAAATGAAATACTTTATCAGCTAACAAGAGGAGTGGGAACAGGTGATCCTGCTGGCACTGGGCCCTGCCAGACCCAGACTCCTCACATTCCACAAGAGAACAGGTGAGGCCGCGTTGCCAGCTGTTGGTGAGCACAGCAAGTGTCACCTCCACTTCCTGCCTGGTACTTAGAGCACTTGCTTGTGATGCAGTTTTCCATGATCACAATGTCTTGTAAATGCTAGTGATTGACATTAAATTGCCTTTTGACTTTTGGGGGGGTACTGGTGGTGTACGCCTTTTAACATTTGTGACTACTTTTACCTTATGAAAGAATTCAGAATGTGGTAATTATTCAGTTTTGTGGAAAAGCAGTTTTAATTTTTCAGCCTACTTTGTATATAAAGTCTACTTTGTAAGAAGTTATATAATAAAATATTTTTTTGTATTTGTATTGACTGCTAAATAAAAAAGATGGTTTTAACATGTGCTTAGTGCTCATGTGCCAGTGGATATTGTCTTGCGGAAGCCACCACACACATTTTTAGTGATATCATCCTTACTTAAGGTGTCAACAGCTTCTCAAAGCTTGTGGCACATTAAAGAAACATTTTCAATGCTGGTACAATTATGGCTTTTTAATTGCCAAAAAATTCAGATCCCAGCCTAGCACGTAATCAAGTTTTGATCAACAACCCTCTGGGTGTCCTTGGCTGGCTGTTGCGTGGCTTTCAGTGGACTGTGGAGGATAGCGTGTGGGTAACTTGGATGAGTGGAGCCTGCAGAACATGACAGGTGGCACTAGGAAGAATCTCAGGAGCTAGAAATGTGGTACTGGGGAAGAGGGGCCCCTGCCCATGAGCTGTGACAGCAGACAGGCTCTTGGCCAGGCCGACCAGAGTCCCCCACCTAGTCCGTTTTGGAAAAGCCTGCAATTCCAAGTATAAATCACCACACTTCACTGTGGTTTCTGCTTTTAACTTACTGCACAGGTATTTGAGGAGCAATTTTGGGGCCAGTGGGCATTCTAGAAGCACTTTGAGGTGTAGGGGCAGAAATGATAAATACTACGGCCAAAGCAATTTGGATCCAGACTTCAGCTGGTGCTTGTTATTTCCTGTTGGCGAGGCTCCAGCAAGGTCGGTAGCAGAGAAAAGTCTCTATGAAGTCATGACTGAGGTCTGTCCGGGGCAAGTTGTGCACTTGCTGTGTCTGCATGCTGCCCCTTCCCTTGGTGGGGTGCTTCCTAGCGCTACACGTTCAGTGCTCTCAGATCTGCAGGACACGYGTGGCAGGGTGGCTGGCCCGCCCAAGGGAGACAGAGAGCCTATACAGGGGGGCTCAGGACAAGCTGAGCCTAGCAGGAAGGGGCTGCAGAGCCTGCTCCCTGCTGACAGAGTGGCTGGAAAGTAGAGAGGGACCACTGGAGTGTGGAAACTCATCTTGACCATTTATGACCTGGTGATGATGTGAGGAGGTCTTTGCTCATTAACCTGGAGCCAGCCTGAGAAGGGGTGCAGACGCCTCATCCCAGCTACCCCTGTGGTGTCCGGCACTGCCCTCTCACCCTGGCTACCCCCGTAGTGTCTGGCACTGCCCACTCACCCTCGCTATCCCCGTGGTGCTCGGCACTGCCCACTCACCCCAGCTACCCCTGTGGTATCCAGCACTTCCCACTCACCCTGGCTACCCTGTGGTGCTCAGCACTACCCACTTGTCCCGGCTACCCCCATGGTGCTTGCACTGCCCACTCTGCACCCAAGCCCAGAGGCCTCAGTCCTGCTCTGCACCCTTGTTCTGCGAGGTACTCCTTGACTAGCTGACTTCTCCCCCACTCCTGCACCCCACACTTGCTGTCCTCAAGCAAGAGCATGACCTTCCTGACCACCAGTTGCAAGTCAGTCATGCCAGGTGTGGTGAACACAGTGTTCCTTCCCTCCAGGGCTCATGGCTAGTGTGTGAGTGACATGGACATATGCAGAAGAATCATGAGCAGCCCTGGAAGAGACAGAGCTCAGCTTAGGTCTGAACAGGCCTTCTGTGCGGGGAGTCCCCTGGGTGTGGAGGACTATCTGTGTGCTGCTCCCACCTCTGCGGGGAGCTGTACTAGCAGTGAGCAGGACCCTGGGGCAAACAGGCCAGTGGGTGACTGGGACACTGGAAGTCACACACTGCCAGGCCATCTTGGCCCAGCATCTCAGGACACATGGGGAAGAACAGCCAGCCGGGAGCAGTGTGTGTCCAGAGGAGAGGACTAGTCCCTTGACTGCCAGGAGCTGAGGGCAGACAGCCCTTCAGCTGTGAGTGCCTACATCCCCTTCCCAGGTGACCACAGTCAGTGAATGGTGGTGGCTAGTGCAAAGCCCAGTCTTATCACTGCAGCCCAGAACTCCAGAGGGGAGCTGGCCAAGACCTTGGTGGGCTGGCTGTCTCCCTCAGTATGAACTGCCTCCTTTCCTGGACTGTTCATAACTCCAGCCTTGTTACCTTTGGCAAAAAATGAATTCCATGATCTCCTGGGCAACCTGCAAGTCACAGGCAACGAGAGTGCCTGGGCCCGCAAAGCAGAATCACCTGACTTGCTCTGCCCTCCGGGAAGGCAGCAGCTGCCTCAGCAGTGGTTACAGACCACATCTGTCTTCTAGTTGGCAGTGTCAAAAGAATTTATTTCAAATCTGCTTAAGACTGTGGTAAAACTCAAGTTTCCCAAAAGGTAATACAGAAATTCCAACCAACCCCCAAAGACCAGAAAACACAGTGTTTGCAATTCAAAAAATACAAACGCTTGTGGATACCAATACAAAAACTAGAAAAAATCACTTTTCTTGCCACTGCCCACCCTTCCTGTTTTCAGTGGAACGTGAACAGACACAGGACCAAGAGCTGCCACCAGACACCAACCCCTGGGGATAGAAAGTGATGTGGAGTGGGGGAGCAGAGTAGGGACAGAAAGTGATGTGGAGTTGGGGAGTAGGGAATGGGGCAAGGACAGGCAGGGAATGGAAGTTCTGTCGACAGCCAAAACAAGGACACACAGCTTTTTGCTTCTTGTTAAATTCCTTTGCCAAAGTCAAACAAACACCTCTCATGCTCAACAGACAGCTCGGTGCGAAGACAGCACCTCTACATCATGCATTGCGTGTCCGCTTCGCCTGCCCCTCCTCTCAGTGCTGAGCAAGCAGGGCTCYGGAGTCTAGCCCATGGACAGGGTGCTGAAAGGCTGGCCTGTACTGGCCCCGCGTCCCCTTCCACAGCTGCCAGCGGCCCCTTTTCCACCCTGAATTCTGTCTCTGGCCTCTCCTCAGGGCCTGTCTTGTTGCCACAAGCTCCTGGGCCTCCCCAGGACTAGATTAGCAGCTATGCCCTCCATGAGCTGCGCCCTTTAGAGAAGAATGTCGCATTCAGATGAGACTTACCTGGAGTCAATATCATTCATAGGAAAGTTGGGGACCTCCCTGTCCCCCACTTAGTCATATAGCTCAGGCCAATGCAGTTCCAGCCATCTGCAGGGGTCTGAAAGCAACCCGTGTCCAGTCAGCTCTTCTTCTAGCCCACGCAGCCGTGGCCCCAGTGCAACTGCACTGCATCACACCGTCCCGTGGCCGCAAAGCCACTCTATGCCGAGCACTGGAGACAGAGGAGATGCAGTGTGTTGGCCCTGCTCACAGACCTCGCCACCGAGGAGGCAGGAAGCCAGGCTGTGGCCTTCCTGGCCTAAGGGGGCTTCCGCCTGCCTGCAGCACTAACCTGGAGATTGCTCATGGCCTTGAGCAGAGAACCACTAACAGTCTGGTCACAGGAAACCTGTCCTGCATGCCTCTTACCCTCCCCAGGCCAGGTAGCTGTGTGACCAGTACTCAACCCTGTCACAAGGAGGCGTGGGTGGAAGACACTGAAGTCGGAGAATGCTGGAAAATCACCACCCAGGTTTGGTCCGTCGAATGTGGGCCATTAGCCCAGGCTGCAGAGGTGAGACTGCACGTCCTTTAAAAGGTGCTCCTCCATTATCCTCAGCACAGCAGAGGAGGTAGGGTATCATGACCAGTCCCATTTTCAGGCGGGGATTCTGAGGTACGAAAGATAAGAGATTTGCCCCAACCCATGCCATAAACCAATATCAAAAGTCAGGTCAAGAGAAATGAGCATCTGAGGGCTGCAGTTGTGTCTGACCCATGCATCCTGCCCCAAGCCCACCAGTCTTTCTGCAGCCCATCAACCTAAAGCTGCCAGGAAGACCTGCTGAGGAAGACCATCAGCGACAACAGCTGCAGGCTCAACTGCAAAAGGAAAATCCTGAGATTTCCCAGGATCCGCACAAACTCCAATATTTGTCTCCTGATAACATCTATTAGATATTTTTTTAAAGCCACTGACCCATTAAGAAGTCCCTGTTGCTTCTGGTAACATGTGACCAAGGAAAAAGAAAGAGCTTTTCCTTCTAGACTTGAAGGTGGGGCTGGTGAGTATCTAAAGTGAACAAAACAGAGACCTAGGTTGGCCACTGTCTGTGGCGCCCCACTCCCCACCACTCCCACTGAAGACCAAAGGAGAATCCCGGTCAGCATTTGTGGTGTAGGCATTATGTTTGACATGGAAGTGAGTACCATTCTGAATATCCAATAGCATAACCTAGTAGTCCTCAGCTGGAGGCGGCCCCCCGGGGACACTTGGCAGCATCTCTAGGTAGCTGTGGTTGTCAGCTACCTGGAGGTTGCTGCTGGCACCTAGTGGGAGACCCCAGGGGTGCAACCCTGCCCCCAAAACATCCTGGGTGAGACACCCTGGCATCACCCCATAGCCTGGTGATGGTGATGGTGTTTGGCAGCCCTGAGCTGAGACCCCAGAGTCATTCACCACCCTCCCAACCTCTTGCTGCAGGCGGCTCTGGGACTGCAGCCCATGGGTGAGCCGCCCACCATCTTCACTGAATCCTTCTGTGCAAGAGGTCAAGCCTTTACTTGCGATTAGAATTAAGGCTTCGTCGCACATGTCCCCGTAGGAAGCACAACAGGTCCTGCACTCTGATCCTAGTCTGAGTGTCCTGATAGGACAGGGGCACCATGAGGGGGAGAGAGGGATGGCCTGCCCTTCTCTGGGGGAGCTCCACAGTGTTTCCCAGGCTCATTCTGGGAAGTATGACCCTCCCCTACTGGGGGGGGGGCGGTCACAGGGCACCTAAGGGTATTATTGCAACTACAAAGTACATACAGGGCTGGAAATGCAGCCGAACAYATGGATACATAGTGCTTAGGGCAGGAAAGAAGGCTGGGATGGGAGAAAGGTGGCGTGGAATATGGCCTTCCGTTGCCTTGAAGCAGGAGCCAGGATGCTCTGTAAGGTGAAGTGCTGATGGACGCCTGTGAGAGGAAAGGCATACAGACTGCCTCATTCCATGTCATAGGCTGCTCCACAGATTGGCTTGCCCAGCCCAGCCTTCTCTTGATGCCATTTACATACAGGAATGTCACAG